TTCTTCACCTTCAAATTTTTACTATATTTTAATTTAAAACTACGTTTTTCTTTTTCTTCAAAATAATGATTGTGAGGTCATTTCTGGTTGGATTTATTTAATGCACTTAGTATTAATAGAAGCAGTAATGTCTGAAATATATTTGTTTATGTGCTGATATTTTTGTTGTGAAACGTCCCCATTTTCTGAGGAAAATTAATAAAAAGCATTGATTTTTGTCCGTTTTTATAAATCGAAAGTTTAAATATATATTTATTTATTTATATTTATTTATAAATATAGTTTAACTAAATTGAATTGTAAAAAAATATATTATTCATGTTCACTTTGGGATTAAAAAAAAACAAGTACCATACTTTGTTATTTTCGCTATCTTCGCAGACATAATGATATTACTCGCATAACATAACCTTCATGGAATTGAATTTAGTCAGGTGTTAATATATATTCTTCGTCTGTAATTTTGACCAATAATGTTAGATTTTAACCCATGCTTATGTAACATCGTGGTATTCCGCCAGCACTGTGTTTAGAGACCTATGTACTCTTTCAAAAGCGTTTTATGTATCATTCAGCCCTATATGTTGTAAACCTATCAAATAGCATTTAATGTTTGATAAAACTATTACAATGTAAGTTAGTTATTAAACTAAGTTATGATTATAATTAGTGTATACATGTAGGTATTCGATTTTTTGGATAAATACAATTCATCAACTGTTTCCCCGAGCCGTTGTGTTATTTATTGAACATGTGTCTTTTGTGCTTTTGTAAGTTGATTTTGTGCTTTGTATAGATCTAATGGGTTAATCGCTTTTCAACTGATTTTGTTCTTCACCACTGTCCCAAGTTAGGGGAGGGTTGGGCTCCCGGAAATATGTTAAACTCCGCTACATTCTCGGCTGTATGTGCCTGTTCCAAGTCAGGAGTCTGTAATTCAATGGTTGACGTTTGTTGTTGTATATCATATTTGTTTTTCGTTTGTTGTTATGTACAGAAATCAGACCGTTATCTTTCTTGTTTGAATTGTTTAACATTTTTCATTTCAGGGCCTTAAAAACCTCTATGCGGTATGGGTTTTGCTCATTGTTGAATCATACCAAATCTTCTTATTTTGATGTCAACAGTCAAAATCACTTACTAGTATTATAAGTAAATAAGGCCAATTTGCCCTGAATTTATTTCCCCCAAAAGCCATTTTTCAAAAGTCTTTCAATCTTTACATACAGACAACTATGATTTTGACCCTGTGACTGACAAATACAGGGGAAATCGACCCTATTCCTTAGCTAACATTATCAATTTAAGATTTTACTATCAGGGTTTATCTCTTTTCGGTATATTCAAATGTTAAATGTTACCATTATCAACATCACAAGTGGAGCCGGAACAGTTTATCCTTCCGAAGAACTCGTGAGTTCATCGCTGGTTGTTTTGGTATGGTTCGTGTTGCTCAATCTTAAGTTTTATATGTGGTTCGTTCAACCGGGTTCCGGTTGTCACGAAGATGTTTTTATTAAAATGACACTTTAATTTTATATTCAACAGACAATAAATTTGACAAAAGCTTTCATAAACCATAAATTAGACTTAGCTGTCTTAAATCCTAGATTGGATAACAACTTCCGAAAACCATAGATTTTGACAATACCTGCCGTTAATATAAAACCAAGAAAGTGTAGTATGTTTGCCAATGAGACAACTCTCCACCAGAGACCACATGACAAAAACGTTTACAAATATAGGTCACTGTCAACTATAGATTTGAAAACTACCTTCGTAAATCATAGATTTGACACTAGATTTCGTTAACGATAGATTTGACAATATATTTCGTAAATCATATAGATTGGACAATAACTTTCATAAACCATAAAATTTAAAATAGCTTTCGTTCACCATAAATTTGACCATATCTTTAGTAAACCATAGATTTTACAATAGCTTTAGTAAACCATAGATTTTACAATAGCTTTAGTAAACCATTGATTTTACAATAGCTTCCTTTAACCATAGATAATAAAACTTTTGTTAGCCAACGATTAACAATAGTGTTCGTTAACCCTAGAATTGACAATAGCTTTTGTTAACCATAGATTTGACCATAGATTTCATAAATCGTAGTTTGGACAATAGATTTCATAAACCATACATTTTACAATATCTTTCGTAAACCATAGATTTGAAAAATTACTTTCGTTAACCACAGATTCGACAATAGCTTCAGTAAACAATAGATTTTACAATATAATTTTCTTTAACCACAGATTTGACAATGTCTTTCGTTAATCATAGATTTTATAACAGCTTTCGTTAACCATAGATTAACTATAGTGTTCGTTAACCCTCGATTGACGATAGCTTTCGTAAACCATAGATTTGACCAAAGATTTCATAAACCATAGATTTGACAATATATTTCGTTAGAGCTATTTTCCTAATGCTGGTAGTTTAAAGGTTTGGTTGGCTTGCTTGCTTTGTTTGTATAAATGTTTGCTCAAACATTGTAATTAAGATTGTATACATTATACTTAAATGTTATTGGATGTTAAGTATAATGCAGAGCTCTTGGGATTATATTGGTGTCTCGGGTTGATACGGATGTGATATTGAAAAAGCCATATAATATTCTCTATTTATCAAACCCAGAGACATGAAATTCATCATCGGCCGTTGGCCTCGGTGAATATCATATCTGTGGTGTTGATAAATCATTATATTATTGATCGAACATTTTTAAGGATTTGTGATTCGTTAAAACTTTATCACATGTACATTTGTATTTACTCAGTTTGCACGCCATACTGTTGTGATTAGCTTTTCGTAGGTCAAAAACAGCATATTGCACAGGGCATACAGCATGTTACTAAAATACATAGTAGATATCCCCAATTTTACATTGTTCATGCAATAGTTGTTGATTAATAATATAACAATTGTAGCCTTTGGTTGAGGTCAATACGATGTTATATCGACCCAGAGTAGCATATCGACCTCTGACTTCGTCCTCAGTCAATATGTTTCTCTTAGGTCGATATTATACAATTATAGCCTTTGTATGAGGTCGATACGATGTTATATCGACCTAAGAGAAGCATATTGACTGAGGACGAAGTCCGAGGTCGATATGCTTTTCTAGATCGATATTACATCATATTGACCTTAAAAGGCTACAATTGTTATATTATTTATCAACAACTATTGCATGAACAATGCAATAATGGGGATTTCTAGAATGTATTTTTAGTAACATGCTGTATGCCCTGGGCAATATGCTGTTTTTGACCTACGAAAACTAAACACAACAGTATTGGCGTGCAGTATTGAATCATACTCATTTATATTGCCATGGAATTTGTAAAAATTTCGATGTTTATTTCATGAAATAAATCAAAATGAAGAAAAATATAGTTACGACGAGTTTTGCATTTAGAAAGAATGGTGGGCATGTGTTTTTGGGATTGCTAATAATGCAACCAAAGGACCAGGATGTAAACAAACACAGGTCAACGTTCGGTTTCCAATAAAGAGTAGAACATACACAATTAAAGTAAGCTTAAACCCAAAATGTGGGCTGCGTCGGATAGATATCGACCTCATGCTAATGAATATCAATACATTTTTTAACCTATTTCGGGTTGAAAAAATCTCTACGGAAAGTATGCAACTGTTTGAAAATTAAGTTGTTATAAGAACCCTACGAAACAGACCAAAATTCACCTTTTATTTCGTATTAAAGTGTTCCAAAATCAATCAAATTCTTATACATGTACATGTTTACGTGCACTTGCTTAAGGTCGATTTTTATCCGACGCAGCTCATGCGAAATAATTCAAAACAATATTTCAAAAGAAAAAAAACAAGCTGCTTGATTTAACCTAGTTAATTACTAGATGACAAACAATAATGGCCGTCATAAGGAGTCTGGGGGAAAGCATGGCCTTGTGCAATGCACAAATATTGCCGATAAGATGCAAGATCATGAAACTTAGATTTATGGATTTATTTAACTAATTTGAATAACATCAGTCTAAGTACCAATAAATGTATGTATTTAATGTGACAATAATAATAACTGGGGGATCACGGTGACTTTCAGCAGTTTTTATCATGAAATTTTGATTATTTTAGACGTTTCATTGAATACCGATTCTAAGTGGGAATGACTTTGTCCATTTAAGAATAAAACTAATTAAACATTTGAGAAAAAAATCTAATTAAGCTCCAGTATTGATGATGCTAAAGACGTTCGATTAACTGATAAGAACTTAATCGATTAATCCAACAAATCCGTCACTTCATGACACTTGACTTGAAACAACTATTATTTCATCACTAAACCCAACTCCTCTAAATCTTCGGTCAAATTTCTGTCAAACACGGAGGTTAAATCGATTTTATATATTTTATTCAATTTGCAGGTAATATAACGCTGAATAAAAGACAGATTAACGGAAGCTAACAGGTGTCCGTTATCAGTGATAATAAGGTTCTAAATGGTGAACACATTTGTCCAGAATAACCTATAGGTGAAAAAAGGAAAAGCTTGAGTGAATGGAATTGCTCTCATTAGTTAATTGATACTAAAGAGTGGAGACACGATTCAACAATTACATTTGCGGATATTTGATTAAAATTCAGGAAATAATTATGAATATGGGATAATAAGCAGATTCATCAGTATTTAGTTTAATTGATTCATTTCAGAATCACGGAATTGTGGCGATAGACAAAAGTATTGACTTAGTTTTCATTAAGATGTAGTTGATTGTTTTATTAGTGTCAATTTTTAGAAAACGAAAAGCATCGTGGGCGATCCGTCAACCTTACAGAGCTGTCTATCTAATAAAATTCATATGATATTTATATGTGATGATTTTATTGCCAATACTATGGAATACATTTCAGGCAATATAAACTATACAGACCAGACAGAATTTTAAAATCACAAAAATATATAAAATATGACGAAGATTGAAACACTACGAAATACAAAACACCTACAAATTGACGGAGAATGAGTGACAAATACAATTCCTTATCTAATTCAAAAACATCTTATAACAACCTTTGACGATAAGTGCAGCCATCTTCGTCAGTTAATCTCAATTTGATGATAATCTGAAAAAAAATTTCCACACTATATTTTCTCTGCATTTGATGACAACGTTGGAAAGTTCAACATCACAGGTTGTTAAATTCTCCGTCATTCGATTACAATGTGGAAAAGATTAGTGTCACGATGTGTTTCATTGTCTGCCAGGTAATAGATAACAATCATCTGGAAAAGGCCGTACAATAATGCCTATATTTCTTACCTTTTGATGAATACCTTGGACGTACTATATAATTCTCGGCCAATTAATAACAGGCAAGGAATTTAAGTGCTATATTTTCCATGAATTGCCATTTGACGACAATTGGAGAACGTTGTTATAGCCACTAGCTTGTTCTCGGCTGACCACTACACTTTGGTCATTGAGGGTAGCGTTAAATACAATTAATTTTCAGTGTATCCAGTTTATTCAAGACAACTGTAATGATCCTTCGCCATTTGATGACAGAGACTGAAACAAATTGTAACAACTCGGATCCAAACTCTTCACCATGTGGGGAAGACGTGCATTCTGTAGGACTCTCACTGAAAGCACTTTCTCTTGGAATAATATTTATTGTCTCTATGGTGATGAATGGAACAGTATGTTTGGTATTCTATAAGAAGACTCAGCTACTGAGTGTATCCAACACATTCGTTCTCAACCTGATATGTTGTCAACTCGGTATGTTTATCTCTAACACATTCGTTCTCAATCTGATATGTTGTCAACTCGGTATGTTTATGTCTAAACATTTCAGTTTTAAATACTAGTATTAGTATACCATACATGCAATTTTTTTTACCAAAGTAAACAAATAATTCAGTCCAAGGAATAATTTTATTGATTTTTCGTTATCTAAAAAAAATTAAAAAGAAGGCGATACTAAAGCACATTATAAAAAAAAATCAACAAATGTCTAAAAAAAAGATAGAAAACACCAGAAACATGAAAAAGATGTTTATGGTCCATAATAAAACACAGAAAACTAAAAATTGAGTAACAGAACAATAACCGGGTTGAACTGATTTGCTCCGAGATAGTAAGTAGTTTCATGCTCCACAACTGATACCAGTCGTTCTTGTCATGTTAAAATATAATGGTAAGTCATTCCTACTCCGCAACTGATACCAGTCGTGCTAATCATGTGAAAGTCCAATGGTAAGTGGTTTCTGTTCCACTAGTTACAGCAGTCGTGCTGGTCATGTGAAAATCCAATGGTAAGCAATCCCTCCCTCACTATTTATACCAGTCGTGCTGGTCATGTGAAAATCCAATGGTAAGCAATCCCTCCCTCACTATTTATACCAGTCGTGCTAGTCTTGTGAAAATCCAATGGTAAGCAATCCCTCCCTCACTATTTATACCAGTCGTGCTCGTCTTGTGAAAATCCAATGGTAAGCAATCCCTCCCTTACTAGTTATACCAGTCGTGCTGGTCATGTGAAAATCCAATGGTAAGCAATCCCTCCCTCACTATTTATACCAGTCGTGCTAGTCTTGTGAAAATCCAATGGTAAGCAATCCCTCCAACACTATTTATACCAGTCGTGCTGGTCATGTGAAAAACAATGGTAAGCAATCCCTCCCTCACTATTTATACCAGTCGTGCTGGTCATGTGAAAATCCAATGGTAAGCAATCCCTCCCTCACTAGTTATACCAGTCGTGCTAATCTTGTGAAAATCCAATGGTAAGCAATCCCTCCCTTACTAGTTATACCAGTCGTGCTGGTCATGTGAAAATCCAATGGTAAGCAATCCCTCCCTCACTATTTATACCAGTCGTGCTAGTCTTGTGAAAATCCAATGGTAAGCAATCCCTCCCTCACTATTTATACCAGTCGTGCTGGTCATGTGAAAAACAATGGTAAGCAATCCCTCCCTCACTATTTATACCAGTCGTGCTGGTCATGTGAAAATCCAATGGTAAGCAATCCCTCCCTCACTAGTTATACCAGTCGTGCTGGTCATGTGAAAAATCCAATGGTAAGCAATCCCTCCCTCACTATTTATACCAGTCGTGCTGGTCATGTGAAAATCCAATGGAAAGCAATCCCTCCCTCACTATTTATACCAGTCGTGCTGGTCATGTGAAAATCAAATGGTAAGCAATCCCTCCCTCACTATTTATACCAGTCGTGCTGGCCATGTGAAAATCCAATGGTAAGCAATTCCTCCCTCACTATTTATACCAGTCGTACTGGTCATGTGAAAATCCAATGGTAAGCAATCCCTCCCTAACTATTTATACCAGTGGTGCTAGGAATGTAAAAGTCCAATGGTAAGTGGTTTCTGTTCCACTAGTTACAGCAGTCGTGCTGGTCATGTGAAAATCCAATGGTAAGCAATCCCTCCCTTACTATTTATACCAGTCGTGCTGGTCATGTGAAAATACAATGGTAAGCAATCCCTCCCTCATTATTTATACCAGTCGTGCTGGTCATGTGAAAATCCAATGGAAAGCAATCCCTCCCTCACTATTTATACCAGTGGTGCTAGGAATGTAAAAGTCCAATGGTAAGGATTTCCTGCCCCACTAGTTACACCAGTCGTACTGGTCAATGTAAAATCCCAATGGTAAGTAAATCATGCCCCAATGGTTACACCAGTGGTGCTAGGAATGATAAAAATCAAAGGTAAGGATTTCCTGTCCCACTAATTACACCAGTCGTGCTAGTCATGTGAACATCCGGTGGTAAGCAATTCCTGCCCCACTAGTTACACCAGTAGAGCTAGGAATGTAGAAGTCCAAAGATAAGGGGATTTCCTGCCCCACTAATTACACCAGTCGTGCTGGCCATGTGAAAATCCAATGGTAAGCAATCCCTCCCTCACTATTTATACCAGTGGTGCTAGGAATGTAAAAGTCCAATGGTAAGTGGTTTCTGTTCCACTAGTCACAGCAGTCGTACTGGTCATGTGAAAATCCAATGGTAAGCAATCCCTCCCTCACTAGTTATACCAGTCGTGCTGGTCATGTGAAAATCCAATGGTAAGCAATCCCTCCCTCACTATTTATACCAGTCGTGCTGGTCATGTGAAAATCCAATGGTAAGCAATCCCTCCCTCACTATTTATACCATTCGTACTGGTCATGTGAAAATCCAGTGGTAAGCAATCCCTCCCTCACTATTTATACCAGTCGTACTGGTCATGTGAAAATCCAATGGTAAGCAATCCCTCCCTCACTATTTATACCAGTCGTGCTGGTCATGTGAAAATCCAATGGTAAGCAATCCCTCCCTCACTATTTATACCAGTCGTGCTGGTCATGCCAAAATCCAATGGTAAGCAATCCCTCCCTCACTATTTATACCAGTCGTGCTGGTCATGTGAAAATCCAATGGTAAGCAATCCCTCCCTCACTATTTATACCAATCGTGCTGGCCATGTGAAAATCCAATGGTAAGCAATTCCTCCCTCACTATTTATACCAGTCGTACTGGTCATGTGAAAATCCAATGGTAAGCAATCCCTCCCTCACTATTTATACCAGTGGTGCTAGGAATGTAAAAGTCCAATGGTAAGTGGTTTCTGTTCCACTAGTTACAGCAGTCGTGCTGGTCATGTGAAAATCCAATGGTAAGCAATCCATCCCTCACTATTTATACCAGTCGTGCTGGTCATGTGAAAATCCAATGGTAAGCAATCCCTCCCTCACTATTTATACCAGTCGTGCTAGGAATGTAAAAGTCCAATGGTAAGGATTTCCTGCCCCACTAGTTACACCAGTCGTACTAGTCATGTGAAATCCCAATGGTAAGTAAATCATGCTCCGCTAGTTACACCAGTGGTGCTAGGAATGATAAAAATCAAAGGTAAGGATTTCCTGCCCCACTAATTTCACCAGTCGTGCTAGTCATGTGAACACCGGTGGTAAGCAATCCTTGCCCCACTAGTTACACCAGTAGTGCTAGGAATGTAGAAGTCCAATGATAAGGGGATTTCCTGCCCCACTAATTACATCAGTCGTGCTAGTCATGTGACTCCAATGGTAAGTAGTTTCTGCCTCTCCACTGACACCATTGTGCAATTCATGTTAAAATCCAATGGTAAGCAGATTCTGCGCCACTACTGACACCAGTCGTGCTAGTCATGTTAAAGTTCAATGGTAAGTAGTTTCTGTGCCACTCCTGCCACCAGTGGTGCTAGTCATGTTAAAGTTCAATGGTAAGTAGTTTCTGTGCCACTCCTGCCACCAGTGGTGCTAGTCATGTTAAAGTCTAATGGTAGGCAATTCCTGCTCCAGTCGTTAAACCAGTCGAGCTTGTTATGTTTAAGTCCAATGGTTAAAATACTACGCCACTACTGACACAAGTCGTGTTAGTCATGTTAAAGTCCAATGGTACGTAGTTCCTGTTCCACAATGACACGAGTCGTGTTAGTAAGTGAAAGTCCAATGATAAGCAGTTCCTGCGCCACCACTGACACCAGTCATGCTGGGCATGTTAAAATCCAATGGTAAGTAGTTTCTGATCCACTACTGACGCAAAAGGTGCTAATCATGTTAAATTCAAATTGTTAGCAATTCCTCCTCCACTACTGACACCATTCGTACTAGTCAAGCGAACGTTCAATGGTAAGTTGTTCCTGTGCCAATAATGATACATGTCTTGCTGGTCTCGTGGTAATATCCAATGGTAAGCCGTTCTTGCTCCATTAGAGACGCCAGTAGTAAAAGTAATTTGTAAGTCTAATGGTTATTCACAGTCACAGATAACTTAGAACTTACATCTGCAAAGTAAAATTTAGTTTGAATGTAAACATTTTTTTCTGTTGAAATATAGCAATTAAACAGGATTATTTAATGCATCACAGCAGATGGATATCAATGCATTCTCATGGTTACACAGGTTTAAAATCAGAATTCGATATCGCCGTGTCAACTTTACGTAAATTGTTTATTTTCATTTATTCAATTTTATAAAGACACGGATAAAACTTCTAAGATTATGTATAAAGCCTGTAAAGGCGATTTTACTGTCTGCCAAAAAACCATGTTGGCCGTTCACAACCAAAGGAATTGTTATAAAACGGTAAACATTTAAAAGAATATTACATCTCTCCAAAAGGATATGTAAACGGATTGGAATGCGAAAGTTACACCGGTCAGCTCTACATCATAGAAATATTTTGAGTACATCGGTCTACTCCTCAGAAAGGAAACTTTTGTAACAAATATGGATAAGTTGTCTATGGATACATATAATGATAAAAATTATATGTGTTAAAGCTAAAAATACAAGGTTAGTTTAGGTTTTGTTTTAATCTTTGGTTGCTGATTTTTGTTTTCTTGCTTTATGAATCAGAACGTTCTCTAGTCAAGTTGTAATCAACACCAAGTTTCATACATTGAAGTGACAAATTATTTAGAGAAATCATTTTTGATCACAAAAATTCCCATTTACTCCCTTGCATGTAAGCAAATTCCTACATATTTAGTTGTTCGCACGGAACTAATTATTTTTGGTTATAAAGAAATATGTTTCTTAATTTTTTATGGTTTCTTTAAGAATCAATTTTCTTTTGCAGCTATATGTGTCATTGTCTTGCCGTTTAGTCTTGCGTCCATATTCTCATCCAAGTGGATCTTTAATGACATTTGGTGCCACATTGAAGGTTTTATCCTAACCTTCTGTATTGCAGAAACACAGTTTTCTCTCACTATTATAGCAGTTGACAGGAACTATGCCATCATAAACTCTCTCAGATACCCGAATGTGTTCACTATAAAGAGAGGACACATTGCTATTGCTGTTTCCTGGGCAACGAGTGTAGCTATCAGTATTCCTCCGCTTGCTGGCCTCAGTGCATACAGCTATTCTCCTGATGAAAATACTTGTACACTGGATTGGAATTGTTCACTTGAATTCTCAGTAATGTTTTTGAGCATTTGTTTTATATTTCCGTTGCTAATTCAATCATGGTGTTACCTAACTATATTCCATGCGGCGATGAACCATACAAAAAGGAACACTCGAGTGTTTCCGTCCCGATCTTCTACAGTTGGGACAAGAGACACGCTTAGTGACTCTTCAGAAAGTGTCGAATTATCAACACATGTAATACAAGTTAGTTATAAAAGCATGGAATGTAAAGCTATGCGTACGATTCTATTTATAGCATGTTCATACGCAATCTGTTGGGTACCGTATATGGTATGCGCAGTTTATAGACTTGTAGGTCTCAGTATAACCTACGATCTTGGTAGTTTTACCATTGTAATGATCTTCTTCAACACAGCTGTAGATCCATTAATATACGCATTCATGAACAGAATCATGCGTTTTGAAATCTATAAATTTTATTGTGATTCATTGAGTAAGGTAGCGGGTAAGACTTCCTCGTATGACGAAAGTGATGATGGTGTTTCTTCAACGAATATGTCACATACACATTCTACCTCACGCGCGAGTCGCACGAGTTCTGTCAAATCACGCAGTATGAAAGGAAGTGCGCCAGGAAGAGTAGAAATGAACCCGATTCAAGAGGAAATTGAACCTACATCAGAATCCCAAAAAGCAAATAGTACTGTATGTTTAACTAGAAAAGAAATAGTTTTGACTCCAGTAGACCTTCATCAAGAGAGTAAAATGTCTAATATACCGTCAGCCTCGAAAAGGAAAAAGGCAACGATAGAAATACACTCGAAAGATAGAGTTTCGGTTCCGTCATCGCAGATACCACCTTCAAAACCAAAAAGATCACATTCAGAAGTATGGACTAGAAGCGATAAGTCTTTGGTTTCCGAACAAGAATCTTTTTTGTTTTTTAAACTCGGAGATGACAAGAAAAATAATCATCAATACAGCAGATTTAGATGTTCTCTAACTAACAGTAGTACTAAGCAAACTCGTATCGAAACTGTTTGTGGTAAGACGACCTTGACCTCGTCAACTTTTATCCAGAATGAATCAGACTTGAATCTTCAGGACCTTGATATAGTTGCAGAACTTTCAATAGATGTTCGCCGAAAGAGAAAAGAGACGAAAGATAAAGTTGTTTCTGGATCTCGGGGAGGACGGAATTGTTTGTCAGCTTAGTTTATTGTAAAAAAACAAAATTTGTTATTGTTTGAATATATCAATACAGATTTTCAACCCCAAAACATTTATGAGCAAATATCATTCTGGTTAGCTAATATTTCCTAGATGGGTTTCCTTACCATTTCTGCAAGTTTGTGTGGTTTTAATCATTTTGTTGAATAACATTAACGGTACACATTTTTATGGACCAGATGCGCATTTCGACAATTTATGTCTCTTTAGTGATATTCGAGGCTAAAATATTTAAAAATAAATAAAAAAATATTAAAAGATTGAAGAGCTCATAAACCAAAAAGGACCAACATTATAGCGAAAGCCGGAAAAGGCATCAGAGCTTTGCACGAGGGAGATAATTTCCAAAATGTTTCAATATGTTTTTAATTGTGGTTATACAATATCCGTATGTTCATGCCAGAACCAAATACTGGGCTAGGGATACCCTCGGGGACTAACACTCCACTAGCAGATGTATCGTCCCAGTGGTAAGAATAATATTAACGTTACAAACTTTTCTACACCAGATGCGTATTTCGACAATTAATGTCTCTTCAGTGATGCTCGAGGCCAAGATATTTGAAAATCCGAAAAATTTATTAAAACTACATTCAAATACCGCTCAAACGTAATGACCAGATATGTGTAAGTACCGGAAATATTGTTCAAGATACAATAAAAGACTAAGACAACCCCCAAAACTAATTTAAAAAAGAGTGAAAGAACACATACAAAGCTGAGATACTGTAGATATTTGTAAATTGATGAAAAATGGACCTAGTATGAAATGAATTTAGAAGAAATTGGTCCTAAATATTTGGAAGACCTGCCACTAACACCAATTTCTTTAAAGGATAAGATCATTAAAACATAACGTAAAAAACTTTATGAGATTCCTGGATTTGAACACGCTAATGAACTTATGGCGAGTAACACTGGTCATTTTAGCATTCTGCCCTCCTCTTTTAATCTCGACCAGTAAAAAAAGTTCCAGTGAGGCACATTGGGTGTTCATCTCCCATCCATCTAAATATTCTAGTGCTTACGTTTACTGTTGGAATTTCTTTAGTAGACGATTGCTGCTACAAGGAAGCAACTGAAGGTTATGTAAAGTTGAAGACATCTCTTCGAAGATCGTAGTTCCAACTGTTTTCATTCGAGCACTACTATCAGTTCTATGTAGCCGACATGCGCTTTCGGTACACTATACTGTTGATTCATAATTATTCGTGGGATACCAATTTTCAATGATTTAGTGGGTAAAGGTTAACCACGAGTCTTAATATTCATCGAGGTACAAATTTCTAAAGGCTTCCATACAGACTTTAACAAAACCACGAATTGAAATATCCAAGAAAACACAACTTTTCCTCAATCCACGAACATTGGTGACCACGGAAATAAATGAATCACAAGGATATACAAGCCTAATAATTTTTGAAGACTAATAACCATTGGGTCCATACCTCTGCCGGTGGACGTTTCATTCCCGATGGTATCACCATCACTCAACACTCTCGAAATGCAATATCATTCATGCAGTAATTTTCTAAACATTTACTGGTTTAAAATGTTGCAATAATTTGAAACACGTAGGGTTATTAATTTTTCTCTAGGGAGTATCGCGGCCAAGTGGTCTATCTTTTATTTACTGTATCACTAACCTGTCAATACTGAGGTTGTGAGTTCGACTACCACACGTGGCAGGTGCGTTCGACTCCAATCTTAAATCCCTATGAATTCCAGTTTTCCTACCAAAGTTCAGCACTCCGGACCCAAAACTAACTGTTCGCCACGATATAGCCAAGAGTGTTGATAGTGTCGTTAAACAACAACAATCAACCAATTTAAGGTATGTCTACCATTAATTGATTTTAGCCGGATTGGCACACAGTTTGTTTTAGATTGTGGTATTATATGTTCGAAAATTGGTTCGCCTTCTATTCCAACTGTGTTTCAGATGCTCAAGGTCTGATGTTGAAGATGAATTGTATTTTCTTCTTAATTGCACTTCCGCTAAAAATGACAAAAGTAAACTATTACTGTCTGCTAAAAAATGTTGTGCTAACTTTGAGTTGACTAACAAGGATCAGTTTATTTGGTTAATGAATAATGCAAATAAGGATATCTTGTTTGAAATGTGCGCTTTCATTAAAAATAATGAAAAACCCTCATAATTTATTCCATTGTCTTTAATTGTCTTTTTATGATTTTGTTTTCTCAGGGCATTGAGGAAAGCTATGCAAGAGGCTGCACCCAAATCCAAATAAATATTGCGCTAAATTTTACATTACATATTAGAATGTCTTTTAAATACCTGCCCTTGGTGGCTTGCATTTGGGTGTCAATTTGGTGTTCTTGTCTATGTGCATCAGCCACGAAGAGGATTAATGATAAATTTTAAAACAACTGTTTATAAATATATTGTAAAGTGCTTAAAAGAATAAGAATACGAATAAGAATATTTAGTGTTCCAATTAAGGACCATTGATGGGTAGCATTACATTCAAATACAACACATAAGACTACGATTTCTTAAAACATTTATTACATTGAAATAAGATATTTATGTTCATATAATCATTAAACTCCATATATTTCTTCTTCTTGTATAAATCATGTATATTTTATTCCAGGCAGGATCAGAACCATAAACTCAGTTACAATAATCATCGTAATTAAGTACAATAATTCACATTTCGTCTAGCATCTAGACATTTAATCGTATAATTCCATTCATTTCTTAGTGCTGAAATATTTTAGTATCTATGTTTATTTGGTTGAATGTCCTTTAAGCACCTGCCTTAGGTGACTACTGCATTTGGATAACTGTATGTGTTCATCTGCATTAGCCACGAGGAGCGGACTTTACTCGTTAAAGCTCATTCCATAATAGATATGATGCTGCTTCTGGTGTATTGTCAACGGATACTTAACATTATGGTCTATAATTATCTATATTGTAAATGTTTAATGCGCTAATCATTGTACTGATTTGCAAATAATGGATCCTATTATATTGGAAATAAAATTTATCTTATCGTATGCAATTGTACTAAACCAGAATGTAGACGAAGAAGAAGAGAGGCGAAAGATACCAAAAAGATATTCAAACTCATAAGTCGAAAACAAACTGACAATGCCATGGCAAAAAACGAAAAATGACAAAAAGACAAACAACAGCATACAAAACACAGCATAGAAAACTAAAGACTGAGCAACACGAACCCAACCAAAATTTGTGATTTACCTCAGGTGCTCCGGAAGGGTAAGCAGATCCTGCTCCACAAGTGGCATCCGTCGTGTTGCTCAAGTTTCAAATCCGTCAATTAAGGAATCGTTACAGTTATATAATGTGGTACTAGTATTTGAATAAAGATCATATTTATAATTAAAAAAAATACTACTTACATCCGGGTTCGTATGCAAAGGGAGATAACAAAATTTTATCTCGGATTTTATTTGATTATCACAAGTATAGTGAATGTTTGTTTTCTTTGTCATGTCCATGTTATATAATGTATGTACTGTTATGTTCACTCATGGTGTACTTTCGTGTTTTGTAATCATACTCCCAATGGGCCTTAAGATGGTGCAAACAGTTCTCGTCTTTTTTCTATCCAGAAGGTTAAAATCCAGTCCGTCTGAAACCTTGGGTATAGACAATTCGTAAATCCTGTTTAGTATGCCCAAAATTTGAAGGTTTTTATTTTAATCATTTTGCTGTCTGTTTTTCTCCTAAGTGCGCACTTGGTATCTTCTCTTCAGTGTGTTATAAGAGCATAATTGTCAAATTGACCTGAACAAAACAGCAAAAATAATTTAATGTCAACTTTAACTGAGAGAGTTGCGAATAATCACGATTTTACTGTAATTTTATGTGACAAAATAAAATTAACACCGCTTCATGTACATTATATAAATATAGATCTCTTTTATAAATTTTCAATTGAGTGTATGTCTGAAAGAATAAATGCTACATAAATACATTATTCATGTGCAGTTAACGAGCTCTTAATAAATGCATACAAAATTTCATAAAGTTTTGAAATAACGTCCAATTACTTACCATACTTCGCCTTAAAACTGATTATTCAAATCATCCAAGTATTGAAACGAACCACGTGTACTAACCATCAAAAACTGCTTACTCCAAATGCAATACTTTTTGAAGTTATTGCGGTTAAGACGAAACGCGCGTCTGGCGCAAATACAAAATTTCAATCCTGGTATCTATGATGAGTTTATTTATTAACAAGTAAGAAGTAAAACTTAATCATTACGATTTTCAGTAATTTGTTCTATAACTGAACCTTTTAACACGTTTATCCCTTCGATTTACATAAGTAATGAACGAGAACTTCTCTGGCCTAGAATTGCACAAACATAAGTAATATTGAAATGTTTATGTGAAATATTCAGAAAACTAAAGAGAAGACATCAAGGGCGCACGTCGGAGAAAAACAGACAGCAAAATGGTTAAAAAAAAAGATGAACAGACAAACAGACAAAAGTAACCTCACCAAAAATCGGATGAGGTATCATGTGCTCTAGAAGGACAATCATTTCACTTTCCGCTATACAAGTGGTACCAGACACTGTGGTGTTGCGGCTAAAACATGAACGTACCCGTAGTCATTTATGGCACAGATATTTCATAATGGTCAAATAAATGCATGATGTCGTCTGTAAAACTTTCGCTGATATGACTTTTATTTACCATGAATAACCTTTGGTTGAATAGGTTCCTTGTAAACAGCAACCAGATATCATTGGAATCATGACAAAAATTCAAAGCCCTTGAGTATCGTATTGCCCTTGAGTATCGTATTAACTGCGATATATCTAAAAATTGAAAATAACACTATGTAAATGTTATGCGTCTTAACCGCTTTTCTGATTGGTTGAATTATGTTTTACAGCGCAACACAGATCTCGATTGCATGCCAGTCATTTCAAATCCAATAATGTATATGAGAAGCAGTGCTTCCAATGGCTAAATATGGCGTGTAAATGAAAATGATATAAAAATGTATAACAAAAATATCGAACTCCAATGTAAATTGAAAAAAGAGTCCATAAAAACTGACAAATCAAACGTTAGACTTTATCAACCACGCAGGGAACGAATGGAAAACAACTGTCATATTCCTGACTTGGTACAGGCATTTTACCGAGGAAAATGGGGGTTAAGCCTGTTTTTATAGCTGTCAAAACCTCCAAATTGTATATGGAAGTTGTTTATAGTTCCGTTATATTGACAAAATTGGGTGAAAACCCCAAACAGATATAATAGACTAATGTGACATTAATTGGGATCCAGCAGCCAAAACTGTGTATAGATAAATCACCGACATACAAAATAACTGACTAAAAATTCAGAGGATTTACAACAAGTAATAAGTAACCTTTCTTTTTACCCAGTCATCTCCCGGCTGTTAAACATATGTATATATATTTTATGTTGTAAATATGTTTTGTATTTATTCTTGTACTGATAAACATAATGCCATTGTATTTCTTGTTCTTTCATGCCATGCTCTATGCTCATTTTATTATGGGTAAGCATTATATTTGACAATATCTTTAAACCGAGCATATTCTAAAGAAAATTTAGAACTTTTGTACTTCGAAGCGGACCTATAATACACGTTCGATAAAGAGCCATTTTGATTTGATGAAGCCAAAACGTTGTAGAACATCAGCAGTTTCACGATAAAAATGAACAGATGATGTAAACTTAGTTTTAGAATAATTTTCATACCGAGCAACACCAACACACATGTTCATTATTTTGATCTCCGGCTTATTCAAAATACAACGTACGTTGCAATTTCGATTGTTACGTCAATCACGTGCAGCCCATATTTAAGCGAAAGAAGAACGTCGTATATAAGAACTGATATTCGGGCTTCCTGGCGGCTTAGGAGATATAAGACACTGACATGGAATATGAGCCCACAGCCCTGTGAAGATCCCGAATAACATAATATATCAATTAAACAGGGTTAGAGACGACTTGGTTTATTTATTACTTGTTATAAATCTCTCTGTTGGTCTCATTTACATTTACTATTCATGGTAAAATAAAAACCATATCTGCGAAAGTATTACAGACGACAGCATGATTTAAGGTAGATCGGGTGTCTTCCTCCATCTTGGATTTTGAAAAAGCAGATAACAGTCGGTCTAGATCTTTAATGAAATTTGCAAATTTCGAGAGTAGTATGTAATTCATATGTGAAAAAAAGCAGGGTGACCCATACTTTTGATTACATTTTTTAAAAAAGCATGATATAAACTACATTTTGACAAATCATCAAACAATTCTGTGGATTTAAATTAAAACACCCCATCTACCTTAATTGACCATTTATTTAATATCTTTGCCACAAATGACATTGGTATGTTCCACTTGTTACTGCAACCCCCGTTATTACATCACCATACCTTGTACTACTAATAGAAATTGAAATGATTACACTTCTATGTCACCTGATTCCTTGGTATCTTCTATTTAGATTTTTTGTATATTTCACATGAACATTTCAGGAGTACGTATTTTTGTAAAATTCTAAGCCAGAGAAGTTCTCGTTGAGCTGAAGGAACGTTTCACAAGAATACCTAAAGGATAAAGGTGTCACGGAAGAGGTTAAATTATTGAAATATTTATTGAAAATCGTTAGTACTTAGTCTTACTTTTGACTTCTTAACCTCAATAACTTCAAAAAGTACTGCATATGGAATGGGTAATTTTGGATAAAAAGTGCACGTGGTCACTTCATATCCGTTCCGATACTTGGATGATTTGGATAATACATTTTAAGGCGATGTATAATTAGCAATTGAACATTATTTCAGTACTTTATTAAATTTTGTATGCATTTAGAGCTCCTTAAACTGCATCTGAATATCGACAAATTCATTTATGCAGCATTTATTCATTTAGAGATACAATCAATCTGGAAATAGTATACACAATATATTATGTTCTAGAATCAATTGAATATTTAGGAAATAGATCTTTATGTATAGAATGTACGGAACTCTCCCAGAAAAAGTTGACATTAGATTGTTTTTGCTGTTCATGTCAATTTGGCAAGGATGCTGGTATAACACACGCAGTTAAGATTAAAAAGAAGTTTTTATTTTAGACATAATAAACAGGATTTACGAATTGTCTGTACCCAATGTTTCCGAGTTGATTTTTTTCTCTTCTGGACAGAAATAAGACGGGATTTTTTGTACCAACTTATGGCTCCATTGAGGGGATAACATGAAAGTACACCAATAAGTAAACATAACAGTACATACATTATATAACATGAACATGATGAACAACACTATACTTGTGATAATTTTTTCTTATTATTTATGATTTTTTAATGTATCAATATGGTTACTTACTCACTGTCGTTATTCTTTATAAGTTAGTAAAAACAAGTACATTATATCAAACATGTTGTTTTGGAAAAGTCACTTATTATAATAATAATATTTAATAGCTGGCTAGAGGTACATACGTAGTTTAATTTAATGTAATGCTTCTTAATCAACATTGGAGTTCGTTACTTAGCATATTAATAGATTTATTTTTGAATCAACTATTTGAAGCATCCTTCTAGTCAGCTATGAGGTAGTTTTTTTAAATAAATGATTTTGTGTTGTCATTATGTTTGTGAATGTGTTGTTTTGTTTGAATGTAATATATTGTAGAGAGGGCTTACAAAGGCTTTGCCTGTTGCCCAATCCAATTCAATTTATTTGAAGAAAATACTGTTTAAATTATGCTTGTGATAATCAATTAAAATCTAAAATAACTTTTAGTTATCTCCCTTTCTACATAAGGAAATGCATGAACCAAGTCAGGAATATGACAGTTGTTCTCCATTCGTTTGATGTATTTGAGCTTTTGATTTTGCCATTTGATAAGGGACTTTCCGTTTTGAATTTTCCGTGGAGTTCGGTATTTTTCCCGTTGCACAGTTACTCAGTTGGAAGTAGGAGAATTTTTTGTTTTGTTCTTATAATAATTAAATATGATCTTTATTCAAATGCCACATTATATAGCTGTGACGATTTAACAACTGACATGCTTAAAACTGGTTCTTCCTCGTCTAGATTCTGTTTTTAGTAGTAAAGTTGTATATAATATGAGATAAGATAAGATAAGATAAATTTTATTTCCAATAAAGATTCCATTATGGACAAAATCAGTACAATAACACTTACAATATATAGATAATACAAAAGAAAATTAGCTCAAATATGGAATGTAACACGAGTTAATAATAAAACCATATGAACTATAATGTTCAGTGTTCGTTGACCATGCACCAGAACCAGCATCATATCCATTCACAAAAGGTCGGTGTTCACAGGACACTCAACCAAATTAACATATCATTTCACAAAAAACACTTATGAACAAATGTTTAAACATTTATTATCTCCTCCTCCTCGTGGCTAATGCACATGGATAAGAATATTAAACAGTCATCCAAATGCCAGAGTGACCAAGGACAGGTACTCCAAAGGACATTCTAATATGTAATGTAAAAATTTAGTATAAATATGATTTGCATTTGGATTTGGATGAAGCCTGTAGTACAACTTGTCCCAATGCTCTGAGAAAAAAAAAACATAAATAATAACCATATTTTTTTTGCGACACACATTTCAAACAAAATAACCTTATTTTCCTTATTCATTAACCAAAGAAATTCATTCTTTGTATAGTCAACTTATCAAAGTTTGCACAATATTTTCTAGCACACAGTAATAGGCTGCTTCTCTCGTTATTTAGTCAGGTGCGATTAAGAAGAAAATATAATTCATCTTCAACTTCAGAGCTTGATCATCTGGGACAGTTACTTTTATAAAGCATACATAAGAACATAGTTTACTACCAGCATGAATTGTAATCTATGTTCCCATTGTTGTAAAAAAAAACAGTTAATAATAAACTTGCTATTTAAATAAGAGCCATGTAATGAAAGTCAACTGCATAAGGAACTAAGGGGTGATACAATAGACCATCAAATGACTCGATCGAGAGAGAGAGAGAGAGAGAGAGAGAGAGAGAGAGAGAGAGAGAGAGATATTCTGGAAGAATCCTTTCTCTGTGAACAAGGAAAGTAATAAAGAACATATGAGGATATTTGGGCATTACAGCATGATTTAACGGTCAATTACATTGTGCTTGTTTTTGGTCACTGTGATCATTCTTTGAACAGTGTACTTTGTAAGTCTATTATTTCCGTATATTGCAGTTGAATTTACAGTTGTGAAATTATGTTATTGGGCTAAATGACAAGGCCGCAATTCACTAAGCCAAAGTTGACCTTCGACAATTTTGGCTGTACTGTTATGACTGTTTTTTTTATATGTCCTCGAATGACTTATATTTAATTATGATTTTGGCTTTCACAACTTTTATTTACGGTTGTACATAATGAATTTTATTTCTTTAAAACACGTATTGTGCGCACGGGAATCTTGTTTCTGACCTGGGTTTTAATATGTTTGAGTCAGGAAAAACAATTGGTATTCCTCTTATTAAGATTAAAAAATCTATTTTTATCCGATGATTGATGACCATATACAATTGCAAGTGCATGCATATTCTATTAATTGTTAATGATTTTCCTTAAATGGATGACGCCTGATCTTTGAAGTTTTTCTGAACCAAAGAAGTTTGGTAAGAACAAACAAAAGTGTTTACGGCCGAAGTTTTCTTTTACAAATCCGGACGTAGACATTCACTGAAAATCATATTATAAATTCTATCAGAGACATATGAAAATGTCTCAAATTCTATTATACAATTAGCAATATGGAAATTTTTGGTATTTTCTATACTCACAGTATGACTCGCCGCTGTACACCAAGGAAGATGATGAACAATGCACGATGACTATTTTCGACTTTTTATTAAATTGTTTTGCATTTACTGAAGGTTTAAAAAGACAATATTATAGCAATAATAAAATATAAACTCGGAGAAGAAATATAAAAAGAAAACCAGATTAATTAATAAGTTTGAGTGACTATACTAAAACGTTTGCACTGAACCTGATATAGTAGTCTCAGACTTAACTTACTGTTACTATCCAGTTACTCAAAACTTGTTAACGATTTTGCAGGAATCGTGACACACAGAAAACGTACATCCTGTTGAGTATTTAGGGAGATGATTCTACAGCTAATGTTTTGAAAATGTTTTCCGAGTTTCTTTAAAATAAATTGTGATAAATAGGAGACCGGCATATGTATGTAGTATCATGACATGTATCTCTCAGACTGGATAAATTAAAAATACTTGCAAGTATTTTTTAAACTTTTGTTATTTACTACAATGTTTATGCTATATTTGTCTATCTTTGGAGCAAAGAAATGAATTGTGTAGAGAAATAATTTTGCACTTCATGATCATGATATTCTTAAATTTTCAGTTACCTTATAACATCTCACAAGTTCTTTACATAATTATATATATATATATATATCGGTCCCAGATTTAATTTTGTTATGTTAAAACTTTATAGTTAACTGCAACAAATCTGATAAACAACAAATATAAATCGCTATATTATAATGATTTTTTTTTTCTAAAATTTCCATTTTGAGAAATTCCCCCACTTATGAGGTTAAAAGTTTTAACCCGGAAGTAGTAAAGCAAGCACGAGCAGTCGTTTCGGAGGATGAAAATCAAAACAAAGAGATGGGACCTTTACAACTCAACATATTTCAGAGGCTGAATGAAGTATGTATTTTGTGAAAACAAAGAAACAATTTGACCAACAAGAATGCAAAGAACTTCAAGCAAAAAAGGAGAAAATAGCTGAACGACAACAAAAAGATGGGAAGAGTTCAGCAGCCGTATCCAGCCCCACAAAAAGAGGCAAAAACGAGAAAAGTGACAGCAATGGTTTTCTGGAGGACGAACTGCCAGACGGAGCATGCTTTCGACCTAAAGTTGTTGAAACAGAAGTAAACAATGAAAATGACGTATCCGCTGTCAGATCAGCCGAGGTATGTGTAAATGAAGGGAAAAAGAGGGGATGCCTTTTAGTCGCTAATTCAGTCAATCTAGACTATACTATAGACTATAGTCTTTAATGTACAGTTCAGAACTTTTGTGAATAATAAGTTGTTATTACAGAATTTCATTATTTTAAAAAGAGAGATGATGAGAGCCCTCATACTCTTTTTACATGTACTATAAAGTGATGCATGTAGAAGACTTAATAGTCAAGATGTAAATGTTCTTATGCCTGTCAGAAAAAAGTATAGACTTTGATTCTGCCATTCATAGATTAACATTGTACTGAGTCAATAGACCAATTCAACATCTTGTTCTATGAATCAAATTTTTTTTCTATGAATGGGTTACGCCGATTGACCTTAGTTCAATCGGCATGAATGACATCATTGAACATTCAACTCGTACTATGACATTTGAAATTTAGGGGAAATCACAAATGTGAAAGTCCTCTATTGTTGAAAATGTTCATTATTGTGATCAGTTATCTCCCCTGAAATGTCCCTATAGGTAATTTTCATGATGATAAAGACAAATTTAAGAAATATCTTTCGACATGTAGTTTCAAATAAAGAGTTTAGGACAATTCTGAAATGGGATATATTTTAATCATCACGTGAAACTGCAAACAATACATTTTCATTCATCTCAAACATTACAAAAAGAATAATTTATAATTTAAACAATCATGAGACAAATTCCCAATAGTTTCCTGCCCTTAGCTCATCAACATGATCATATTGTGACCTTTGGATTTAGTTTGGACTTTCAGCTTGACCAGTAAAAGATGTTGATGAAGTTCCTGTTTTATTTAGATTTGAAGTAACTACATGTAGCCATTAACAACTCATTTATGCATGATACTGGATATGTATTTTTCTTACATACATGTATGAAAAATAGGCAAACATTTTAAATCTGATAATTATTAGAATGTAATGTACATTGTACAATGTCAAATGAATGTAACATTTGATTTCATAAAATTATTTATTTCAATATTTGACATTATAAATTAATGTCTTATATATCTTTCTACTGTCATGACTGTAGAATATATACATGTACACACTCATTGACAAATATTTATTTAAAAAAAACTCTTACTGTGCATGTCTGGACATTAATTAGGTATACTTGCCTTGAACCTAAAACTTGGTAATTTTTGTCCATGCTGTGGACTTTTTTAATTTATTTAAAAGAATTTAAAATCTATGACAAAAGGGTTGATTTTTCATTGTATTGTTTAAAAATCCCAAATTATGTCAGTGTCTGCAGTGACATTAATGGCCAACATAGCCGTTTAAGCCTAAAATAGAACATTTACTTTAGGGTTTAAAATTCTGTAAAATGCAAGTATTGTCTACTATCTTGAAAAAAAGTTATTGGTCATTCCTTATAGAAGATATTGTTCTTCAATTAGCCCTTGACAATTTTAGCCAATTTTGTCTGAAACTACCTTGTATAGGAGTGAAACTGTAACTAGCAAAATCAAAGTACTGAAGTACTGAACATCGGATGACTGCAAGTTCTTGTGGATGGTCACAAGCACTTGTCTCAGAAAAAAAAACACATCTCTATACCTGAAAGTGAGGTTAATGTGCAGATATAATTTTTTTTCTTAGACAAGTTTGTGCGTGGATGATAAATAAATGACAGGGAATTCAACCTCACCGTAATAAATATGATATTGAAGTGATACAAATCAGTATACTCTGGTTTGTTGTTATATATTATATTAATATTTGTATATTACAGTTACATGTATATATAATTTTCATCCATTTGTACATCATTCTATTCTACTATATTAATAATAGTGCAGTGCAAGTGCATGGTGGACACTCTTCTGTAATAATTCGATTTTTCTAATAGATTGGATTTCAGTAGGCATTCATATTTTCCTGCCAAACTTTCAATCTCCCATGCAGAGTTATCGGTCCTTGAGAGAGAGCGAGGACCGATAACTCTGCATGGGAGATTGTAAACGTTCTTGAGATATTCTTCCGCATGCGTTAACACACATTTTCTGTACGTGTGCATAGATACTAAAGATTTTTTACTTATATATACATTTCTAACGACAAAATTTCATATTATTTATTTATGTTCTGAAAAAAATATTTTTAGGAGTATCCATTGAAAAAATGAATTTATAACAAGCGATAAGGAATGTTATTTTGCACTCGATAATGTCCGCGTATTTATCATGTTTATAGATCGGTTACAATTCCAACACGAAAGTTACGTAACGGAAATCTAGACGACAGCAATACACCGGAATGCCCTCACGGTCATCCGATGTAAAAATGATCAGCAAGACAAGATCTGCAAATAAGTCTGCACAGCAAAAATTATCAATTAATTATCAGTTATTGCCCTTGAAACCATTGCTGTCACTTTTCTCAAACTAATTTATTTATAAAATTGATAATTTTGAAATTTTATTGCTATATCATTATTATTTCAGTCCCCATGACAAATTAGAACAAGGATTTGACATCAAGTTTTGATATTTGTGCTCAGATGATACAACATTTTACAATCTTGATGCATCTTTGGACTCTTCTGTTTTGATGATGAGTCCTGAGTCATGTTCCTGAGTCCAGGACTCATGGACTCTCCTTAGTGAGAACCCTGGTTATTGCCCTTAGATGAAGACTGTTGACTAACTTTATTGTTTTTAATACTTAATGTCTTAAAAACTATAATAGTTGGACTAAAACTTTGAACATTAAAACTTATCTGAAAAACAAGATCTAAAAATAACTTAGTATGAATGACATTTTGAATAGACTGCTTACAGGAGTAGTTGCCCCTAATTTAAAAGTTTTAAATTTTTAAACACATACTCAAACTACTTAAATCTAGATGCCTTTGTGACATAATTTATATCACAGAACTGTTTAATGGTCAACTGATCATGAAACTTTAATTAAATTTACTTTTATTGCTTACATGTATGTAGGAACACAGTCTCACATTTATAGTTATCCACTTTTAAAGTTGAGTAAATGCAAATATGTGTGTATATTTTATGATATATAATTAGTAACAGTGAAGCATGTTGATATAGTTTAACCTTGCAAATTAATTTCTTCCAAAATTGTATCTCTTGATTAACTGAATAAAAAGTCACAACAAATTTTTTTATACCCTCAAATTGGATAACTACTTTATTATTTTTAAAGGCAGTGTCTAAATGCCTTTAATGGCATCAGGCAATAGCCATTTTGTTTCTATGTGGGGGGAATAATTTTTTCTTGGAGTTGGACATTGACAATCACAAACAATAATTGGTGACCTGCCATGGTCAGTAATTTTTTTGATCAGAGTAATTTTTTGAAAAAAGAGTGACTTTCTTGGAAAGAGTGGACACACTTGAGATGCAATATATAACTCAATGTTTTTGAGTGTTTTTGAGATAAGTTTCTCACCAAGCCATCACGATGAACTGGAATGTTTTTTTTATGCCCCTGCCGTAGCGGAGGTGGCATTAAGTTTTACCCTTCTAAAGTTATGCCCCTTTACAAATGGAAAAATTACTGAATTTTTCCTTTCCGTTCTCTAACTTTAGTTTGCCTCAACCAAATGTTATGAGACTTATACACAATGTTTATTACCACAAAATACAGATCATATTTGATCGACATTTTCAAGTTAAATATATATGACCTGTTAAAATATTCATTGTACCTCCAAGTCATAACTCGTAACAATCCATATTTTGATTTTGTTGTGAGTCTCACACTATGACTAAGCATGCTTTCAGACATCGTACAGACCACCAGAAGAAATCGAAAAGTTGATTGAACATGATGTGCAAAAAGATTCATTGCCAAGTGAAATTGCTTGTAAAAATTGAAAATCTTTCATTCAAATCTGCTTCAGTGCTTGACATTTCGATTTGCAGTTAACTATTTCTTCTTTTTTACACTGCCGCTTGGTCGAGACAAAGACCTTTATCTTGTTGGAGTTGCATATTAGAACTGAATTTCGATTACTGATAAATCGAACATAAAAACTACTGACCAAAGTTTTCTAATGAATGCCGATTGTGTATTTATTTCTATTGAAAGTAATGAAAAAGTCAGAGAATTACGAATGCGGGTTATATCAGGTCAAAATATCAGAAAGCAGGAGTGGACCGGCAAGCTGGATATTTCCGTAATTTCGTCATTTGCGCGGGAGACTACCGCTCAAAACGGGAGGGTTGGCAGGTACAAATAATATGTACTTTTGAAATGCAATGTAGCATTTCCATTTCCATGCCGTAATAATTGAAAAATGTCTAAATATCTTGATATTGTTAGCCTTTCCTGAAAAGTAATCCAGAAATTATTGCTATTTTTGAAGAATTATTACAAATTTTGGAAAAGCTACAAACAGATATGTGTATTTGATATCAGAATGCGAGCTCTTATTATTGCGATACTCAAGTAGTCATGTTATTCGCATTAATAAAAACCTCGCAATAATTTCTGAATTTACAGTATGTTTGATTAAAATGAATCTGGTATATAAAAATCACGAAACCTGTAGGTATAATTTGTAACTCACTTTACAGCGCATTCACGCTTTGATTTTATAAGTACCCCTACATTTACTTGCAAAAACATTTAAAATCAGCACATACATTTTGTACAGCTTCACATGCATGTAATTGACTTGTTGAAGTGCTACTTCTTTGATCATGGTCATGCTTTTATAATATGTAAAAACACAGCTGTAGAGTAGTCTGTAAAGTTTCAGACAACTCCATGAAGTGTATTGTTTTAGTTTATTCAAACAGACATCATTTATATGTATATGTATATGCATATATATATGATTATATAGCCGTGGTTCTCTAGCTAGTAGGTTTAAAAAATAACAGTGTGAAAGAAACTCTATTCTCTTTTTTTTTTTTTTTTAAAGGGAGTGTGAAATATACTCCATATTCTCTTACATGTATGTTTAAAAAAATAGACACTTGCAAATAATGGTTTTC